CCTTCCAGATCTCTGCCATGGTGCTGTCGGACCTCAAGGAAACAGCTGAGGCCGCCCTAGAGCAGAAGGTCACCAAGGCCGTCGTCACAGTGCCCGCTTACTTCAACGAGAAGCAGTGTCAAGCCACCAAGGACGCCTGTGAGTAGCCCCTCAAGTAGACTGTCATGTCCCACAGACTCGGCATAAGGTCGGGCTCTCACGGGTAGAAGGGGGGGGGCAAAGGTGTCTTGTAGCACAAATTGCTGACCATTCAAGCGGCTCACTAGACGACCAAAGGACGGAACAGGGAGGGGGGGGGGGTATTCCCTCATGCCGCACCTGGATTTCCAGTGTTTGTCGTGTGTAAGTAAGAAGTAGTTCCCTCACTATGTCTTCACAGGTAGGATCGCCGGGCTGGAGGTGCTGTCCATGATCAACGAGCCCACGGCGGCCGCCATGGCCTACGGGTTGGAAAGGGAAAAGGGCATAAGCTTCGCCAAGACCGTGTTCATCTTCGACCTGGGCGGCGGGACCTTTGACGTGTCCGTGATGAAGATCAGCGGCAGCGCCTGCCAGGTCCTGGCCTCGGGCGGCGACACCCACCTGGGCGGCCAGGACTTCGACGTGCTCTTGCTCGAGCACTGCCTCGAGGTGAGATGCAGACCTCGACAGTTCCTGGCAAAGTCTTTGGAACACAATCCCGAGCCCTCTTTTCTTTTTCTCAGGACTTGAAGAAAACGTTGACTGCCGGGCAAATCGAAACGTTGATGGAGGACAGGCAGGCGATGCAGGACCTGCGCAGGGCCTGCGAGCTCGCTAAACGCAAGCTGTCTAACATGCCCCAGGCGCAAATCGCAGTCTTCTTTCCCCGGCTCAGCAAGTCGTACCAAACGACCATTACAAGGGCCATCTTCGAGGATCTGTGCACCGCGTTGTTTAAGAAGACTATCCAGGTCAGCGAGCAGGTGTTGGCCGATGCAAAGGTAAGGATATTATCTCATGCGACCTCGCCGCGTCTCCACTCTTGGCCTCTTCACGTCTCGCTTCACGTCGTTGACGAGTGTCTGGCCCGCAGGTGACGCGCGCTCAGGTGCACGACGTGGTGCTGGTGGGCGGCTCCACCCGCATCCCCAAGGTGCGCGCGCTGCTCCGGGACATGTTCGGCGGCAAGGAGCTCCGCCAG